GTGGGTCTTGAACCCACGGGCTCAGGCAATCCACTCACCTCAGCCTCCCAAAGGCGCGGGATTACAGGCTGAGCCACCGAGCCCGGCTCACTATTTCTTAAATAGTGCAGTCAAGTTGCTGGTAGGTGATCCATGAGATGTCTCTGAGTGCAAAGGGCTAGAAAACCTGGAGAATGTGGATTCTAATATTTAACACAGGACATACGAAGACAAAAGTGAAAGAGATAAAGGGGCACCTGCATTCGCCGAAAGCCTCTGTATCTCATATTGCAGATGTGGTCCCAGGCACCAAAACCTACAAAAGAAAGAATCTCTAGACCAGACTGACCTCACAGAGAGAGACCTGGGCTCCTAGGCTCTTTCCCCCTCCATTCTGTTAAGCAGGAGGTTGTTTTCAATTCTTGGTTGATGCTAGCAGCTGAGCTATTCTGTTCCCCAGTTCCAGCTTGTACAACATGAAAAAAGATCCAGCCTCCATGATCAAAAGGTCAAATCACATTAAAGACGGGAAAATAAAAAATGAAAACCAAACCTATACTGTTCTCTCCTCCTTTCCTGCAGCAGACATTCTAGTTGGAGAGATTAAAAAAGTAAACACATGATATCAGGTAGTGGTAAGTATTATGAAGAAAAATAAAGCTGTATAAGAAGCTAGAGAGTGATGGTAAACTTTAAATTGAGATAGGGTCATTTTAGATGAAGTTTACATGATGGACTCAAGTCTCAAGGATGTCTTCCCCAAACTGGGAGTTGGACACATTAACAATTTTGGGGGTTCTCATCTTCAACTATGTAGTAGACTTTCAAACCCACCCCCTACTCTCAACCCATCTCAGTGAGCTACTTCCTTGCCAGATGGTCTAGTGTTGGAGTGTCCAATCTTTTGGTTTCCCTGGGCTGCATCGAGTAAACTTTTGGCTTCCCTGGGCCACAATGAGTAAAGAGGGATTGTCTCAGACCACAAATAAATTATGCAATACATTTATTAGTGTATATACATAATAAGGCTTTTATTTTTAAATATTTTTGTGATAAAGCTTAGAAAAATGAGAATATAAAACTAGTGGGAAATTTGACTTTGCTTTTGTAAAACTAATCTATATCTGGTTCGTTTGGAAGTGGTCACAGTTCTTAGTGAGTTCTCAAGGTGCTCATCAGAAATGTTTGTTAGAATTTTGCTCTTCATGTGCCTCATAACTGAAAACAGCTGCTCACAAATGCATGTGCTACCAAAAGCAATATCATGAATAAAGCATGATTGTGAACTTCAAAAATGGAACCACACATGAAGTCATGAGGAAAATAAATGCTAAAAAACACACGATGTTAAAAGATTTTGTGGGATCACATTACTAGCTGTCCTGGGCTGCGTGCAGTCCATGGGTTGCGAATTGGATATGCCTGCTGTAGTGACTCTGTCCTGTGGGACATGCTAAAAAGCTGAGAGGGAAGGAGATTGGATCTCTGAGAGAGGGTCTTCTACTCACTACTGAGAAGCGTTGCAGAGCCAGGGGAAATAGAGCTGACCCTGTTGCTGTAAGTTTCTGACAATTTCTCCAGTACTTTCTTTGGACCTGCTTCTAGCAATAGGATTTTCTTGTCACGAAAGTGAATGTCATGTCCTACAAAAAGAATAAAAAGCAACATTTTTTATTATTTTAGGAAAATGAATTTATTCCCTTTCCCATTTCCAAGAGAAACAACAGAGTAATCCCTTCAGCCTGAGAACACGTTTGTTTTTTTTTTTTTTTTTTTTTACAAAATACACAAACACTACCCATGAAGCGTCCTAAGCAATAACAAATTCAGCTATGAAAACCACCCTACCCACACTGTAAGTCTTCTCCGGACGGAAGACTACTACATGCCATGTGTGAAGAAGCAAAACCTGTAACTAGCGAATAGAATGCCTTAGAAAGGGAGAATGAAGTAAAAAAAAAAAAGGAAGACTATAGTATTTAAACACCAGTTATTTTAAATTCTCAGAGTATTAAGTCACTAAAAATTACAACACCTGTTCAAGAGAAATGGTGGTACAAATAAGCTAAATTCACTGCATTCTCAAGATTAAGTCAATAAATAGAGTTTATAAAAGAGGACCAAAAAAATACATCAGCTGTACCTATAAATCTGTTCCTAAAACAATGTAGAGAGAAGTACAAATGGGATTTTGAAACTTTTTACTGGGTGACTGACTTTGCAGCATAGATACGGTCCCTCCACAGTGACTCAAAGTTACAGGGAAAAGATGAGGAAAGAGAGGGTGTAAGTTGTTGCTGCTAAGAAAGGAGGAAAAACAATGTAATGATTATCAGAGAGAGAAGAAACACTGTTAGTTTTACTTAGTAATGACAAAAGAAAACCCACCATCTATTACGCCCCCTTTTAACATTTAGAATCTAAATGAGAAGAGAGGCACTATTATGACATACAGAGTAGAAGATGTGAAAATCCAAGTTGGCTCCAGTGGAATGGACAGTGAACCCATCAGGCCAGGGTGTGGTCCTCCAGGTGTGCTGTAGCACCACAGCAGGTTTTGCGGTGGACAGGGCACAGGGACATGCTCTACACAGGGAGTACAGTTTTCTAGTCCCATATACCCCTGCCCTTGATCCAAGGGCAGGTGTTCTATCCTATGATCCTTACCTCACAGGATACACAGTTTAACTTAAAGTAGGTCATAAACTTCTGTAAGAGCTAAATCTGCAAAACTCTTAGGAAAAAAAAAACAAAAACACAGGAGTAAATCTTTGTGACTTTCTTAGCTATAACACCAAAAGCACAAGTGATAAAAGATTGGTAAACTGGACTGCACCAAAGTTTAAAACTATCAAGAAAATAAAAAGATCACAAAATGGAAGAAAATATTTTTCAAATCATTTATCAGATAAGGGACTTGTTTCCACAATATATGAGAGAACTATTACAACTCAACAGTAAAGAGACAAACGGTCCAATTAAAAACCGAGCTGGTATTTGCAAGCCTGTTGTCCTAGCTGACACAGAAGGATGACTTGAGCCCAGGCGTTCGAGGCTGTGGTGGGCCACAATCAAACCACTGCACTTCAGCCTGGGTGACAGAGTGACACCCTGACTCAACAAAACAAAACCCAGCAGGCTCTCAATAGGCATTTCTCCAAAGAAGGTATACAAATAACCAATAAGCATATGAAAAGGCATTCAACATCACTAGTCATTAGGGAAATACAAATCAAAACCGTGAGATCCCACTTCACACCCATTAGAATGGCCGCAAACGAAAAGATAAAAACTAGTGTCCCCGACCTGGAAAACCTCAACCCACACATATTGTTGGTGACCCAGCAATTGCATTAGTAGAAACAGATCCAAGATAACCAAAAACATGCCCACAAGAGAGGAAGCTTGTACACAAAACGTTCACAGTAGCATTATTCGTAACAGGCCTAAGGTAGAAACAACCTAAATATCCATTAACTGGCAATAAACAGTGTGGTATAAACACACGATAAAATACGATTTGGCCGTCAAAAAGAATGAAGTACTGATATATGCTACAACACAGATTAGCCGTGAGAACATCAAGTGGATTCCCTTTTATTTAGAACTGTCCAGAAAAGGTAAATCTAGAAAGACAAAGTAGGTACGTGATTGAGAAGATGCGGCAAAACAGGGAGTGACTGCTAATGGGTTCTGAGTGTCTTTTTAGGATGACGAAAATGTTCTAAAACCGTAGTGACAGCTGCATGACTCTGCATTTACTTTTTAAAAAACCCCCACTACACCGTACATTTTAAATGGGTAAACTTTATGGAACGTAAATTATATCTCAATAAATCTTAAAAAAAAAAAAAGCCAACGCAAAGGCCAGATGCCTTCTCACGGTGCCCGTGGGGCCTGTTCACCACGCGAAGGATCGCCCCTCCCACTTTTGACCTCGCCGAACCCTGAAGTCCCAAGAACATTCCCGGGACCGTGGGGCTCCTCCGGGAGGTCGGTGGATGCTTGGGACGCTCGGCCTTCCGCTGCTCCTCCGCGGCCCAGTACCCGCCACTATTGATCTGGAAACGAGCTTACCCAAGGCGCAGGCCATGGCGGCGCCTACCAGGCCTCCTCCCGACACCACCACATCGTACAACGTGTCTGCTGAGGGTACGGACCACCTCTGGCGGGACACCAGCGAGCCTCTACCTACAGCCACAGGCCCGGCAGCCCAACGGCTCCCAGCCAGTCGGGCTGCCATGGTGCTGACTGCGCCGCCGCACTCGGAACCTCGCCAGGATCGCCTCAGGTAGTGCTTCCGGGGCAGAGCGGCCCAGTTGCGCTCTCACAGCCGGAAGTAAAACGCGAGAGGTCTAGACCAATCAGAAAACTACCGTTGCCTCTTTGGGCGGGACGGACGAAAGGCTGCCCTGGAGCCAATCAGAGGCCAAAACGAGAAAGGGGCGGAGCCTGGCCCCGCGAAGCTCTGGGTGCCGCTGCGGCTTCTGCCTCTGCTTGCCAGAGATGGCTGTAGGGAGGCCTGGCGGAGGCCCCGGCGGCGCGGAGGTGACGCGTCAGGTGAGGGGGGAAGGAAGAGGGAGGAAGCAGGTCTGCACCCCGGACGGGAATCTCTGACCGAAACCGGTTTGGCGTTGCCGTGGAGACAGGCGGCGGGGCGGGGCCAGGGCTGAAATGAGCGTTCGGAGGCCGGGGTGACCCTGACTCGGGACCCGAATCTCTTGAGCTGTGTGGCAGTGGCACTCAGTTTTCCGCATGCCTCTCAGCTGCCCTATGGCATCCCGCTTTGTAGAACATCGAGGAACGGCGAGATTAAGAAATTCGGCCTCAGATGTATAGCCAGAAAGCAGATTGGTGGTCGCTTAGTGCTGGTGGGTGTGGGGGTATGTGGAGTCTCTTTTGGGGACGATGGAAGTGTTCTAAAGTTGATTGTGGGGCCGGGCGCGTAGCTCACGCCTGTAATCCCAGCACTTTGGGAGGCTGAGGCAGGAGGACTGCTTAAGCCCAGGAGTTTGAGATCAACCGGGGCAACATGACGAGACCTCGTCTCCACAATAAAAACCAAAAAATTAGCCGGGCATGGTGGCGCGCGCCTGTAGTTCCAATCACTTGGAAGGCTGAGGCGGAAGGATCGCCTGAGCCCAGCAAGTCGAGGCTACGGTGGCTGTGAGCCTCCCACCCCACTCCAGCCTGGGCGACAAAGACTCAACTAAAAAAATAATAAAAACAAGATTGTGGTGGTGGTTGTACAACTCTGTGAATATACTAGAACCACTGAATTGTACACTTTAAATGAGTGAATATATGGTATGGAAATTATATCGCAATAAAGTTATTGTTAAAAAAATTTTAGGCTGGGCGCAGTGGCTGACGCCTATAATCCCTGCACTTTGGGAGGCTAAGGTGAGAGGACTGCCTGAGCCCACAGGTTCAAGACCAACCTGGGCAACTTGGTGAGACCTCATCTCTACAATAAATCAAAAAATCAGCCAGGGATGGTGGCACATGCGTGTAGTTCCAGCTACTTGGAAGGCTGAGGCGGAAGGATCTCCTGAGTCCAGCAGCAGGTCGAGGCTGCGGTGGCTGTGAGCGTGCCACTGCACTCCAGCCCGGGTGACAGAATGAGGCTCCAACTCAAAAAAAAATTTGCCCAACATCTCCAGTTAGAGCCAGTGTGAGAGCGCATACATACCTTTGGCTCTTAACCCAGATGTTAGAAAGGCTGTCTCATCAATCCAAAATTTCTGATGCTGAGAAAGTCTAACTCAGACAGTAGTCAACACAGATAAGGCAGAAAAGTTTCTCTCAGGGGCACACCATAGCTGCAAAATTACTAACATCGCTTCTACTGACACTGCTTACTTATCAGTTACTTAGTCCACCCCTTTCTTCTCACCTTTTGAATAAAAAGTGCTCAACCATCCACGTCCTAAACTGTCCCAACTTCATGACAGCACTGTTCCAGAGCTGAACCCTGCTTCTCCAGAACCTCCTTAGACTCAATCAGGACAAGCCAGCCTTAGACAAACCACCACCCCTTTCCCCAAGTTCCCTATGGTTTTCCATGGTGTACTGCTGTAAATTAATAAACCTAACTCTGACAGTCAGTTTCCCAGTGACCTTTCTCTGATGGGCTTTACCATCAGAAAAGCTTTCTACAGGTACTCCATCACTCTATAACCTCAGTGTTTTCATTGAGATTATCATCTTAGATTATCTTAGGTTGTCTGTGTCCTTTTACTAGAATGTAAGCTTCATGGGAGTAGGGACCTTGTCTGTCTTATTCTCAAATACCCAATGCACATTAGGCACCTAATAAATATTCTTTGAATGTATGGAGTATTTAAAAAGCTAGTTAGGTGTCCTGCTTTCTAGGACATTGCTTTCAGCTAGACTATACCATTCCTTCTGTTAATCACTCTGTTAATACTCTGTGGACAGAGTAGAAATTAGCTAGGATATAAGAAAAGCAAAGGTGTAGATAGGGGAAGCAAGGAGGCAGCAAAACCAAGTAAGACAGGGCACAGAGTTTGGCTAAGGTCATGGGCAAGGTTCCTGGAGTGCAGGGATGGAATGTGTGGTATGGATTAGGAACTCTCTAAATGCTCACTGCACTGCGTGGAGTAGGGAACCAAATTTAGCTCTCTTCTTTCCCCCTCTTCAACCCAGCACACTCCATATCAAGTTGTGAAATTTCTTTAGAGCAAGGAGCACCTTATTTTTTTTCCTTCTTGGTCCCTAATATGTAAAAGCTTATCCAAAATGAAATTAACAGTTATGTTTTAAATACCTTTGAAATTATTGTTTGACTCACAATGTATTTCTGTTCCATTTTAGATGTTTTCCCCTAAATCCTCCTTAGACACAGAGACAGAAGAGGAATTGTCTGGGGATGGGCTGGTTTTGCCCAGGGCTGGCAAACTCGATGAGTTCCTCAGTCCAGAGGAGGAGACAGATGGTACTTTGGACTCAACTGGGAGTTCTGAAACCCTACAGATACTAAAACAGAAAGGCAGACAGTGTCTTTTGGAGTCTTTCTTTCAGTCTGACCCAGACAGAGATGAAAACTTCTCTGAAGATGAAGAGGACCTGGAGAGTTTCTTCCAAAACAAGGGCAGGGGGAAGCCACAGGCCCAGTGTCCTCTGTCTCTGAGGTAAGGCACTGGGGCTCCACAGCAGCCTCCCGCCACACCCTCCATGTAAGTCATGCCAGGTCTCTGGGCCTCATCTCTCTCTGTAAAACAAAGACCACTTCTGCAAATGGCCACTTGCCAAGGCTCCAGCTCAGAATCAGCTTTTGACTACAACCAAGTATTTTGATTCCTGCCCAGCAATCCTAAGTCACTTTGGGCAGCACTTAGTCCAAGGAAGCATTGGAATTGAAGAGATGCCTTTTTCTTTTTTTTTTTTTGAGTTGGAGTTTCACTCTGTCGCCCAGGCTGGAGAGCAGTGACCACTCCCGGCCACCGCAGCCTCGCCTGCTGGCCGGCGATCCTTCCGCCTCAGCCTTCCGAGTAGCTGGAATTACAGGCATGCGCTACGACGTCCGGCTGATTTTTTGATTTATTGTAGAGATGAGGTCTCGCTGGGGATGCCTTTTTCAAACACACTTTTCCCTGAGAATGATAAGGTACGTTTACCTTGGCTAAGTCTGCTGTATGCATATATACTTTACCTCATTTAATATTTACCCTCTCTTCCACTACCTTGTAAGCAGAAATTATTTTTTATCATTCTACATATGAGAAAATTGAGGTTGCAACAGAACTTTGCTCCAGGTTTGCAGCAAGATTTAAACCTGGGTCTGACTCTAAATTCTGTTCTCCCCATTGCTCTGCTCTCTCATATGAAAATATTAGGGTGCAAAGCAGTAATTCTGGGATCAGTTCTGAGAAGACTTCCCATTAGGGCTACTGGGATTGCCTGTGGGGAGGTTATGAGCATAGAGGCCCACAGGCTGTGATGTTAGGCTGAAAAGTCAGCTGTGACCAGTGGAAGGGAGGTCTGGGGAGGAGCACTGGGAGTAGGTGGGCCTCCTGACTGCCCTGTTCTCCCCACATTGATGTGTTTTCTCCCCAGGTGTGGCTCCACAAGGCGCTGCAGCTCCCTGAGCAGCCTTCCCTCCGACATTCCCGGGTCTCAGACCCAGCAACCCTCAGCCTCCAGGCCTCCCTCCTGGCATAGAAGTATCAGCTCCTGGGCAGCATCTGTCACCGTCCCTCAGCCGTTCCACATGATGCTGCGTGAGGCCTGGAAGAAGGCCCAGTGGCTGGCCTCACCTGCCTCCTTCGAGCAGGAGAGGCAGCAGGCCCACAAGCAGGGCCAGGAGGAGGCCGAGTGCTATAGGCAGTTTCGGGCACAACCTGTGCCTGCACATGTCTACCTGCCCCTCTACCAGGAGATCATGGAGCGCAGTGAGGCCCGAAGGTGGGCAGGGATCCAAAAGAGGAAAGAACTGCTCCTGTCTTCTTTGAAGCCTTTCAGCTTCCTGGAGAGGGAGGAGCAGCGAAAGGAAGCTGCTCGACAGAGAGACTTGGCTGCTACGGTGAAGGCCAAGGACCCTAAGCAGAAGGCCACCAAAAGGATCCCCAAGTCCGTTCTTAAACCAGCACTTGGGGACAAACTCCAGGGTAAAGACATCCTTGCCTCCTTGCTCCCTCTTGCCTGGGGGTACCAAGAAGCACTGTGGGTGTTTATTCAGGACCCATGGGTCAGCCTGGCCTGGAGATGTGCTCCCAGGTGAACCTACTAGAGGCCACAGGCCCAGTGCAGGCCATGGGGGAGGGCTGGGTCTGTCTATATAATGGGGGAACCCTGTAAAAAGCAAGGGGTGAGAAGTCCCACAATATCCCCTAAGGCTTGTCCTGCTGACCTCTTAGTGAATACACATAAAGGCCTTTATGCCAGCACAGGTGCAGAAGCAGAGAACCAGTGAGATAACCGAGTACCTGCTTAGGTCATTACCACCATTACCCAGATCTCCCCAACCCCCTCCTCATCCTGGTGAGGTGGTGTCAATCACTGAAATTACCTGGGGGATGATTATTTTCACATTTCAAAAAGTACAGCACTAAACAAGGAACACTAAACGAGTATTCACTCTTCAGTAGCATGTGCCACTCTCTAGGCCCTATTCCATAGCGAGTAAACAGTCATGGAGTTTGCAGACATGTGGAAAAGACAAAGTGACAAATACAGATGTAATGAGGTGTTTACAAGGACAAAAGGGGAAGCATAGAAGCATATCCTAGAGGGTCATAACTCAGGGTGCGGTGAGGGGTGGGAGCAGTTAAGGAAGGTTCCCAGAGAAAGTGAACTTTCGGGCTGACCTGAGGATGGGCAAAGAGGGAGGAGGAGTGGAGCAGGCAGGGGGAACATGAGAGAAAGCTGAGTGCGCTCAAGGGTAAGGTAGAAGGTGGAGAGCAGAGGAAGAGTGGGAAGGCAGAGGCAGGAACAGGCCAGGCCTGAGGGACTTTGCAGGTCATGTCAGGGAGTCTGGACTTCATTCCAAGGGCACGGGGAAGCCATGAAGAATTTTAAGCAGGGTGGCTCCTGATCAGGTACACAGTTCAGAAAGATCCTGAGTATGGAGGGAAGTTAAAACAATAGGAAGCTATTCCAACAATTCAGTTGAGAAATTATGAAACTGATCACAGGGACGATGAAAAGAGGGTAGACTAGAGGGAGAATAAGGAACAGGAGAAGGTAGAACTTGTGACTGATGAGGAGAGGATTGATGAGTCAATGATTTGGGCCAAGAGCTTTGGCAGTTGGGTAGATGATGGGATCTTTCTCTGAGTTGGGGAAACCTGGGACAGAAGCAGCTGACTGGCCCACGTCCTCCTACTTTTTATCTGAAGAAGAAATCATAGAAAGTGCTCAGTAAGTGTAAATGGTAGCTGCTTCTGCAGCCTGACTGGCACAAGCAGTGGTGTCCTGGCTATTTATTAATGAGCTCCCCAGGGAAAAAAAGAGTAAGCTGGTTTGTAATGTTTGCAACTTCTGTAGTATACATACTCCTATCATGGCCAGTTGCACATCTCCCACATGTCAACAGACCCACAAAACTGAAAAGTTAACAGTTGCAACACTCTACTGCTAGTGTGTAAAAGGGAAAGATCTCCAAACCTCTTGATTCGAGGCTTGGTCTCTTCTCACCCTTCTCCACCCTTTTTCACCATAGAAGCCGAGCTCTTCAGGAAAATTCGCATCCAGATGAGGGCCTGGGACCTGCTCCAGATGGCCTCCTCCCCTCTTGTCTCCTCTGGTAGCAGGGCTGACCCACAGCCCCGCACAGCCAGCCGAACCCGGGAGGAAAGGCTTGGGTTTCTGCACACAGACTTTGGATTCCAGCCTCGGGTGAATCCTGTGATTCCTGACTATGAGGGTCTCTACAAGGCCTTCCAGAAGAGAGCAGCCAAAAGAAGGGAAACCCGAGAGGCCACTCGCACCAAGCCCTTTGTGCTGAGGACTGACAGCCTGCGTCCTGCCCAGCGACCCTATGGTGCTACCACCACTAGACAGAGGAAGGTGAGAGCCCGGGAAACTGTGGGAGGGTCAGGGCCTACAGCCTGAAATATAGGGTGGGCCCAGGTTTCAAAGGAAAGTACTTCTCATGACATTTTTAAAATCTTACTTTTTTTTTTTTTGAGTTGGAGTCTCACCCTGGCGCCC